GTAATATACGTAATCGTTGCGATATATTCAGAATCGTAATTTCGTGCGATTGTTATAGAGAAAGTTTAAGTATATCATTCTGAAAGTGTTGTTAACTAATAAATTAGTTTCAGACGTGGAGTATACAAGGTGCTTTAGAAAGTGAAAGGGTGTGTAGCTCAACAGTTTCGTGTCCTCATTGCTTTCGCCTAACAGTACGCATGCGAAGACTGGGGAAAGAGTGAGAAAAACTAGGAACATTACACAAAGTAGATAAAGATCGACAATACATATTTGAACATCTTAAATTGAACTTCCTGAACGATAGAATCGAACATTTTAAGGATACATATTTCACATTATATAGTTTCAGATCTATTACTTTAATTCATTTCAAGACGATTGATTGCTCGTGATTCCGGGCACGTTTACTACTAAGAACATTATTTCCGTAATTGTAGTGCACGTTTATTCGGGAAGTAGCGGTAATCTTTCCCCTGCTGTATGGCGAGATCCGGCGTTGACATACCGTTGGCTAGCGAGGTTAGCAGGTGCCTCCCACCAGCGGAACACCGCCCCAACCGGGACAAGTTCTATGCTCCCGACTGTTCTCTGGGCATCTGTTGTGTGGTGCTTGTTAGTGTAGGCGTCAGGGGTGAGTATAGGACAAGGAAGAGAAAGGAAAGATCGCGCGTGATCCATGGCTCGTTCGTTGGAGTACTGCTTTGGTATTTACCTGGTACTGATCGCAGAAAGAATCGCAGAAATCACGGAAAACTACCAATCAGAGCAGCCGGTCGCTGGAATTCCCGTCCACACAGTGACTGAATTCGACAAGCTAGTGTCGCAAATTCTGCCACGTTCGAGACTCGAACCTAGGACCTTCCGGTCAGAGGGACTGCAGAGACATTGGTTGATGCCCTGAGCCATCTCTCCCAGTGTAATTTAGCGACGAACTCTCTTTTTACTAGTTAAGAATTGACTCCATTATTCAGTTTCATAAAATCTGTTCCTGATGCAAGAGATTAAGTTTTATTAAATCAGAAATAAATAGAAATAAGTAGAAAGTGAGTGAAAAAAATTTAAAATAAAAAACAATGAAGTAAACACCTTTGAAGCAAATACCCGTATTACTCCTAGACTTTTAAGTCTTGGATGTTACTAATTTCGTATGCGCGCAGATATTGAGAGAAAACTAAGCAACCTGTGGCCATGTGAGAGGTGAATAAACAATTTGTTACATATACCAAAACTCGAGAAAAATCGAAAAATTATTCAACAGATTCGATTTTCATTTAAAAAAATCGAAAGTATTCAATTGTTATTCCGCCTGTTGAAAGGCTCCGTGTGTCACTTCTCACGACACAACTAATGTCCTGGGACAGCAAAGGTCCGGGGAAGAGTCCAACTCTAGGACATTGGCTATTCTCTTGTTCCCAAGAACTGTTGCATTGTGTAAATATTATGCTATGTTATTGCAGTATTCGAGAGGACTGTTATTGTTCAAAAATATTCTATTTTTTGCAGTATTATACGTTAGTATTTCATTTGTTGTTCTTGAGCTGTATGCGTCCTACTTTTTGAAAAACCATTTTATGAGTTTTATTTTTCAGTCGCACGTTTGCTGCTGAATAAACTAGCCTAATCAAGGAAACGGTTTTTATTTCGACCAAAAAATAGATATTTGTTTTTCTGCACTTCTCACAATGCACGTACCATCTAAATTGGTCTTAGAAAATGTCCGTACTACTTTTATGAAAACCATTTTGTTTGGGTTTGTTTAGCTTCATTTTTGCTGCTGCAGGTCTCTAACATAACCTATTAGATATATTTTCTTTTATTTGTTGCGTATAGTCGAAGAAAAACACAACACACATTTTGAAATGTGTCACTAGAACGCTCTTGCATTACTGGTCTGAAATACTCAAGAAGGTTGTTACGCGGTTTTGTTTTCAAATTCGTTGTTGTTTTTGCGAAATCGGTCGAAGATGACCAAATACAGTTCAGAAATCCGTATCGTATCTGCAGAAACAGTCCTGACGTTGCTTACAGCAAAAACTCTGAAGGAAATCTGAAATTTTAATAGGAAATTAAATAATTCAAATACTACGTTGCTTTGGACTGATGAAAAAAAAATACAAAACCAAACACTTCCTTCCAAGATCGTGATAGTGCAAACTGTACTATACGGTCTACTATATTAAACAGCTTTATGCAACACGCTCATTCTCCCTCTCCTTTTTCCTCTCTCTCTCTGTCTCTCTTTCTCTCTGTCTCTCTTTCTCTCTGTCTCTTTCTCTCTCTCTTTCTCTCTGTCTCTCTGTCTCTCTTTCTCTCTGTCTCTCTTTCTCTCTGTCTCTCTTCCTGTCTCTGATGGTCTCTTCCTCTCTCTGTCTCCTTCTCGTCTCTCTTCTTCGTCTCTCTGTCTCTTTCTCTCTTTATCTACTCTGGTCTCTCTTTCTCCTACTTCTCTCGCTCCTCTCGCCCTGGTCTCTCATTCTTCTGTCTCTCTTCTCTCTGTCTCTCTTTCTCTCTGTCTCCTCTGCCTCTGTCTCTCTTTTCTCTCGCTCTCTTTTCTCTCTGTCCTCTCTTTCTCCTGTCTCTCTTCTGCTCTGTCGCCTCCTCTCGTACTTCCTGGTCTCTTTCTGTACCGTGCTGTCTCTCTGGGTTCTCTTTCTCTCTGTCTCTCTTTCTCTCTGGTCTCTCTTCTCTCTGCTCTCTCTGATCTCTCTGGTCTCTCTCCTCTATCTCTCTTCTCTCTCTGGGCTCACTATCTCTCTCACACATACACAACCACACACGCACATGCACACACCACGTTAACCGTCTATCTCTCGCACTGGCTCTGCGCACGTCATTTAACGAGAGGTACACTCTCTCTTTAGCTAATGGCGTGGCATTCCTTCGCCTCGCACCGCTCTTGTATTAAATCCCCCATGTGTTTGCTTTGCAGACGTCGAAGCTGCGAGACGCGCAACCACTGCAGGGCGAGTGCCGCGCCGTTCAAGGTCCCTGCGGCCGTGGAGCTATCAAGCCGCGCATTGCCGAATCTGCCTCCGTTCCGCGCGACACGCCATCGTGTGCTGCCGTGGAGCACTCGCACCCCCCGCGCGCCCGCCCCCGCAGCTGCCGCGGCCCGTGGTGGGCTCGACCCGACAGTCGACAACAGCTTGCTCGCCGCCCCCAGCACTGCAGCCGCTGCCAGCCCCAGCAGCGCGCCCCCCGGGCCCCCGGACCCCCCCGGGTATTGTTCCCGCCCCCCCATGGGCGCCAGACCGCCCAGCCCCAAGCCTCAGCCGCACCGCCCGCCGCGGCCCTCGCCGACGCATCGGCCGCACCGAAAGAGTGCCCCGCCCTCCTTC